TCGCTCTCTCTCTCTCTCTCTCTCTCTCTCTCTCTCTCTCTCTCTCTCTCTCTCTCTATATATATTTATATATATATATATACATATATCAAAACATGAACTTGTCATATGTGATAAATAATAATGTTCAGAGATTGAAAGCGCTTTCTTGTAACAAAACCTCTTACAACTTAGTAAACAAACTGTAATCATCCACTTATGGTTTCAAAAGTTCTCATCCATCAATTTGTTGTGTCCTCTATGAGGAGGCAATGGAATATTTGGATTATTTCACAGCTATAAAGGCCTTTTTATGAAAACTGTGTGTACTGTGAGGCAAACTGAAAGGCCACAACCCAAGAGGTAGGCACCAAAAAGATATATTTGATTCCAAATATGTTTTTTTTTTCACCCAAAGTAGCAACACAAAATTACTATACTCAAAAAGACAAAACTATCATATACTGAAAATCACATTCTTCAGGGAAATACTCATGACAACAAAGATAAACTGGATATTCAGGTAACTCTTGATGCTGGAACTCATGGCAGGAGGAGAAAATGCAGCAATATGGCGAGCCAGTATGAAAGTCAAGGAATCTTCCAGCACAGACTAGTAGGAGAAGCTGGCTCAATGGGCTGCCACCTACTCAAACTGATGTGGCTCAGGTGAGGAGGTGAGTGTCCCCCTTTGAGTTTGGCCCCGCCCCCTGCCACACTCCAGCACTGCAGAGAGGGAGAGCAGAGCAGAGAAGGAGGAATGGGAGTGGCAAGAATCGGCTAAGCAACATGGCAAAGGCAAAACAGAACCATGACACGACGTGGACAGTGAAAAACATGACAAAAAATATTTTACTTTTAACATTCATTATGGTCATCGAATAAATTATACACCTTTTTTTGGAATCTATCGCTTTCCCAAAGTGGTGAACAAGAGGAATGAACTTTTAGTAGTTGTAGGTTGTCTCTTTTAAAGTTCAGTCCATCTACTTGTTACCTTGTTTACGGGCAGATGTGAGTCCTTACACATTCAATACGGCTCACACATTGACGTATCGCAGCAGCAGGCCAACTCCCAGGACACGCCTACTGGACATTAAGTTAGATTGCTCTCATACACTGACTCAGATTTCTTGGCAGCGAAACATTTTGAAGGAGGCAAATGCAAAAGTGGGCAGGAATATAATGTTGCACAGTCAGGAAATGAATTTCTTTGTGTATCACATCATTAGTCTGCCCGACTACAACTGATAGAAGTCAATTTTTGATTGGATGTTTGTGTAATGATGCTGCACCAACAGAATGTTTGGTTGTAGTTTTCTGTTCGATACCAAATGCATGACTTAAAGGAATCTGTGTCTCGATTGATTGTTGCGAGTCTGGATGTCTGATATGCAGTATGCAAATATTTTCATCTGAAACAGCAGGGATCAGTGAGGAAGACAGTGAGTGAAAGAGAAACCCAAATCTATAGTGGCTCTTTGCAATCTTGCACACGCCTGTGGAACAGCATAACCGCAATAATCATTGTAGCTCCAGCTCTGTATATGCTTGAACAAATTGGCACTGATCTATATTCCGCAGCACCAGACACTTTAAAGCGCTCAAGGACTTTCTGTACAATTGCACACTTAAAGTTCTACAAATACTGCTACTGGTCCCTTTAAAAACGGTGCAACGATTATCTGCACCAACTGGACAACTGTGATAGTATTGTATTCTACCACTGATCACATTTCGCTCTGCATGCTACTTTGCACATTGTCTCACAGCTGTCTTTGGGTGGTACTACTGCACGACGGTACCCTTACATTACGCAAAGTCTTTCGATACTTGTATATCATGTCCTTGTGTATCGTAGTTGCTTGTTATTGATAATACTTTTGTGGCCTGTACTACTGGAGACAAATTCCTTGTGTGTTCTACATCCATGGCCAATAAAGATGATTCTGATTGTGATGCTTCTGATTTGGTTCAGTATAGATGACGTCATGCAAGGAAATGATGTCAAGGTCGTGCCACTTCATGTGTCTTACACAGTTAACATTTGAATGTCATGCTGTTAAAATGTCCAAGTCATACAAGGACTGACCTTGGAACAGCCAAGCGAATGCCTACCTATTAATAATTCAGCAGGTCCTATTGATCAGTCAGCTTCTACGTAGGCACTGCTGTCCATTAGGAACGTATCCCTGCCCCCACTATCTTTTATCCAAACCAGAATACACACCAACACATACAGTTTCTACACTCGGTGTACTATGGCATGAACTAAATTCTAGGTTTGAACCACTCTCTCTAATACATGGAAAACACACTTTGTAAAGAAAAAAAGAAAACAGTCCCTGCCAGGGTGCCCCTTTCCTCCCAAATGCCATTGGTGATGATGAAGTAACACTTCGCTTGCTGTAGACATTTATACATTCACGTGACATGCTTGTGCTGAAAGAGCTATTCGGGGTTGGACAGAAGGGTGTGGCCGGCCATGGAGCTGGACAACACAGTTGTCTGACATTTAGAGTTATTTGAGATGATGCTGCATCAGTGCTGCCTCTACACTCACGGTGACGTAGTTGAATTTCAATATCGTCTCTCAGTTACTGCCATGCTGACAAGCCTCAGTGGTGTGGTTGAAAAGCCTTGCATCTAAACCTGGGGTAACCTATATTCTTTTATGAGCCACACTGAATTTTGAATTTCATCTGCAGTTCCTCCAACCCATATTTTATTTTAGGTTATTTCCTCTAAAATGTGTTCCGTTATGATCAGAAATTAGAATGACAAATATTCAACCATGGTGTCTTTGGTGGAATAATGGCGAGCAAATAAACTTCAGAGTCAAGTGATTCTGGGTTCGAATCTTGAGTCAGGCCCTTAACATGTGCTAGCATGGCTTCTCTCTACGTACTCTAGCTTCCTCTCACATTTTAAAATCATGCATTTTAACTGAATTAAAGCCAGCTGGGCTATGCAACAGCTCACACACAACCCTAATGAGGACAAGTGGGATCGAAATTGGATGGATGGATGGATGATTAATATTAATTATGATATTTTGAGCTCGAGTCTGTTCAGTTGGTTTTAGTTTATTTCTGTCCCTCTTCCTCCCGCAGCTGTTTGGCTCACAGCTGCTTGAAAAGTTCTCTTCGCAGAATAGACGATTAGCATGCGTTACACTGATGAATAATGGGGAAATGTACACGCAATGACCATTTGGGTCTGTCATTTACCATCCAATTTTAAATCTCATTACCGTATTTAGCTTTTTTTATGCCACCAATAAGTATTTTTAATGGGGCAGTGGTAACAGTGTTCAAGAAGGAGCTTGAAACAATCCCAAGAACTGGTTGTGTTTTCATCATATTTGCACAGGTTGGTCTTTAACTAAAGGGTCATGGATGTGAGTGCCCCAACTTGCGAGTTTGTTCCTTATTTTTTGTCTCGTATTGCAGACCAATATAGTTAGATATGTCCCAGCGCAAATGAAGAGAAAAAAAGCACCTTACGTTTTGTGTGTGTGTGTGTGTGTGTGTGTGTGTGTGTGTGTGTGTGTGTGTTTGCGTTTTTTTTACATGGCAACAATAATAATGATAATAATATCTTCACTTTATTATGTCTTATTATGTTTTGAGGTATGTATAGGTAACAATAGCCATACAGTATTATTTTTCAGTTTTCAAAACAATATTTAAAAGTGTATTTTTGAGGGGCTGCGACGATTAATGGCATTCCATTGAGCGCATTTGGTGTGATATTCAGTTACGCGCTTGGACACAGAACTATTTGCCAGAAAATGAGTGGCCTCACAAGGATGTTGGGTTTTTCGAGCTGTACTTGAATGTAGCATGAGCAGCGTTGAGCCGAGCAGGCCGATCGTGCCTTCCTCTCCTCAGCAGCCCAACACCATCACCGCCCCTCCCTCTGCTCCATCCACTCCGCCGAAAGCAGGACGGTAAGCCACCTCGCCGTTTTTTATGGGCTTCAACTCTGTCACCCTTGGACGCTTGGACCCTTTCTGTTTTCTGTCAGTGCTTTTATGTCGAAAGTGCCGAATGATCCGACTGCGCGGTGGTTAGAATCGCCCTTTTTAAAACAGCACGTAGGTCACGGTCGGTGTATGCAGATTGGTGCCACCCTGGAGAAATCTAACTGTGCTATCAGTGGTTTACTCAAGAAGACCGTGGTGTGATTAAGTAAGTAAGATGATGGATAATGATTTAGCCGGCCATTTCACTAGCTATGTCAATATATAATAATTGCTACACATGCCTTGAAAAAAGACATTGACGCTGGCCTGACAACGTAGTATTTATGAAAATGCTGTGATGTTTAATATTGTATTAAACTAATTCAGGTGTTTAGCGAGACTATACATTGTGCACTGTACCCGTAGTGCAAACAGGCGGCCATGGGCCCACAT